TGTACTAATTATAGCAAAATTAACATAAACCCTTCTCAAAAAAGAGATAGAGAATATAGAGTTAGAATATAAAATAGGTCTTAGCCCCGGACACTTATATTGTGTTGTGTGCTCCTTATTCCCTCTGTTCTTTAACTTGTGATGCAAGACAAAAATGTCTGTCACTGTGGAACAAATAAAGGATCTCTTCATCTTAGTCTTAACTCTATGTTGACACTTCTGTTGGACAGTACCTCTGAGAGGCGACTTCTCTGAGTGGAAAATGCCCATCCATCCACCTATCCAGAATGTGATGTGAATGTAATCGCATATTCAACAACAATCTACATTAAATCGACTCTTTAATTATTCTTTGTAAATGGACCAAATTACTTACAAACAATATGTTTTGCAAAATTAAAACAAGATCTGGTCCTTTGGCGATACATGGTTCAACATAATTTCCCACTCTTCCCCAGAGCGACCTGCCTGGAGCAGGGGTCGGGGACCCATCTCCAGCAGTTGATGCTTTACTTGGTCAGGTCTACCCGAGCTGGAGGGTTTGTCTATGGTGCATGTAACAGATGTAATTGTTGCTCAATATTATTTTAGTTATTTATGGGTTTTTTGGGTTTCTAATTGTTTTCTGACCAAGAATCATATATACGTAGAGCACAAATGTGTCATTCAATTCATTCAATCTGCATTTTCATTGTTGGTGAAACTGTGCCTTAACACTAACGGATGCAACAGTGAAAAACAAGCACTGGCGCCTAAAGTGCACCTTTTGTGGTGTATCAAGTTATATCCATAGATTCTGCACCTCATCATTATGGGAAACTGTTTCAATACATACCGTAAGCTCTTTTTCTTAACCCAACCCTCAAATCAATTTCACAAGTGTATGCCTTTTTGCTTGCACTGTTCCATTATTCCTATATTTTTCATTCCTTGTTGTTAAAGTTTTCTTAAAGAAGACATACCATGCTTTCATCTGATATATTTTGACAATTATTATTCATATTTAGGGTTATATTGATTTGAAATGTCAATATTGATGTAAAACGAAGTCATAAAAAAGTAACATGTCCTGGCACAGATTCAGAAGTAGCACTCTTTTTTGTGTGGGGTAATATGTTTTTAGTGGGGTAATGTGTAAAAACAGAGTGTGTGTGTCATGCTGGCAGGGGTCTGAAAAGGAGGTAAGTGATGGCACCTCGGTTGTAGCAGAATATAATTACTTAAACATGCATGAATTGCGCTAAAACACCTTTGTGTGTAAATGAGAAGCGAGAGAACAACAAAATGATCACAATCTGTTGTTATCCTCCTTGAATGTTCAGCTTTTGCCGAATAAAAATGTGGATATGGTTGGATTGACAGCTGTGGTGTTTCACTCACAAGTTGTTAACAATAGATCTCTTCATAATGGAGCTCCTCTGTTCTGTATTCTTATCGTGGCCTCTTGATACTACTGTAACTCAAGCCTTTGTGATGCCTGTCACCAGCCATAATATATACAGCAGTGCACTGGGCTACTCTCCTCTGATGCCTGAGGATCAAACACGCACTCAGGAGAAATGGTGGTCACATATGGTTTATGTACCACTTGACATAATTGAACATATGCATTGGCATGCATAACAGAACAATATGAATATCTGTACTTGAAATTATTCTGTTTACCCTGAAGTAAACCCTGAAGCATGTTAACAAAAGATGAATTAGCAGTTTGTATGAAGTATTGATAATGTATTGGATTTACATGGGGTGTTATGGAAACTCAAATATGTGTGTTGTTGAATTATTCCTTCCACTTGCTAATTGTATGCAAAACCTTTTAGTATCCACCAGTAACTGCTTCTTCGTTTGTCCAGGATAAATTGTACACATTGAGATGGCCATTTTGAGATTAGGTTTGGTTATTGTCTTTTTTTACTTATTTCAGGTTCATTCTTTGCTTTGTCAACTCATACTTTAATGAAGTTGGTACATGAATAAATCAATACGTTTTCAGGATGGGGGATTGCTTTATAGCTCCCCCTTTATCTAACTAACTTGTGTTTGTTTCATATAGATGACGTTTGTCTCAATAGAAAGTGTCTTGTAAAATTACGTAACTCATTAGAAAACACTGTATCTTTTACATACTGAGAGTTGGTTGGCTTATTTATGGTCTTTTCCTCTGAAATAGCTTATCTAAAGAAACCTCGAAAATCTTTGCATGTGAAAACTAGTGATTTAACAGTTTTGAAAGAGAGGGACAAGTTACATAGATTTTTATAACACAGTTCATTTTTTTGCATTTTCATCTTTAGGTACTCCAGCTTTAAAACACTTGATCAACCCGTGTATTTTTCTAACCTCCTTCCACCGTGACGTGAGCGTGTGATGATGCCCCCAGTGGCAGAGCCCTGTAAGTCGAGGCACTGGACCTGGCATATCTGATTTGATTCATCCTGACAACTAAGGACCATTTGGGATCGGTGTAACCACGGCAACTCCCATCACAACATTCAGGGTGGTTTGTCGACAGGGCTAACCCAGGCCAGTGTTCCTTTGCATTCATTTTTAATGTGCAGAGTACTTAGTGGCTCTTCCTGGGCCTGTCTCCCCGCGGTCCCATCTTCTGAGAGGAGAAGCGGACGTACTTGGTGGAAAAAGCCCCCATTACATATTTATTGTCCCAAGTCTTAATTATTGAGCCTGTAGGAAATGCGGGCTTCACATTTCTACTTTCTCTGGCCTTATTTTACCGTAGATGTGATGAAAACGTCTGAATCCCATCGCTTAAAAATAAATACTCCAAACAACACAGAATTGAATTAAACACAAAACTTTGATTCATGTTTTAAATCCACATGGCTTTTCCCTGCGTGTTATTCTGAGGTGTACTCATGTGGTTTATTCCCATGCTGGTCCAAATCAATCTGACTATTGTAACTCCATCCTTCTCTTTCAGCCATTGTAATAGGACATAGGAGAGGATTGATCAAGAAATGTATTTTGGGACACAAAGGGCAATGGTCTCTACTTTGACCTTCCCCCTTCCCACAGTTTTTCCACTCCAAAGTTAAGCATTTATAAATCTCTCAAGAGTTCAACTTTGGTTTTGTCTGATAAATGAAACCTGGAATCTGATAGATAGAGAGAACATACAAAGTGAAAACATACAGCTTGTTTCTTGCTGAATACTCACGATTAAGAAGCACTTTTGGCAAGTAACTATAGAGCGTCTTATACGTTTTCCAAGCCGTAGCCATGTTCCCTAAGCAAGAAAAAAATCCATATTTTATTTGGTGTGAGTGCCGCTCAAGGCCTGTAAATTATTACCGCTGTATTCCACCTGCCAGTGGAGGTCATCCAGACAGGAAGACGGGTGGACCCCAGAGTATTGGTGTGTCTTTGTCGGCACACATGTTCCTGCTGTGTGCTTCTGTTAGCCTGGGAAAGTGTATGGAGAATTTCATAAGGAACAGTACAGTCCCTGCATGGTCATACTGCAGGCTCATCCATCCATAGATCTGGCCTCCCCTCCAACCATCCATGGACTAAAACACATTACAGAGATGACTGCCTCCGATGTGCTATGCCCCCCCCCCCTGCTTTGCAGCTCTGTGCTGTTAGCCACTGGAGGCTGGATGTATCATGGCCACAATGGGAAACACATACAAGCACTCACATATGCATTTAGTCATCAGGGAGCAATTTCATCCAGGCCTGTGTGCAGTGATGGACCAGTCTTTGTCGCATGGCTCAAGTCACATGGACACATACAAGAAAAGTTTCTTTAGAAATAGTTGAAATAAACATAGATCCATGTTTTTTTTAATATTTTATAATCTCTGTTTTTAATCACTTTTTTCTGATAATTGAGAGACTGGGTAGATGTTTCTTGTTTATTGCAACATACTTTTCATTGATTACTTGATATGTCTATCTATATTGGAATTTTTTTTTCAATGTGAAGTTAAATGGTATTTTTCTATACTTCTAAGTATGTTATTGTAGTATTTGTAATATTACAGCAGTATACTTCTAAAAGTTTTATGTAATAATGTTTAAAAGTTTCAAGTAGTTGATGGTAACTTCTATATGTTTTACATACTGTATGTTGTAGTACTACAAAACTACCAAGTACTTTTTTGTTTATTTATTTTGAGTTTACTTCTGGTCCTGATAGTTAATATGTTCCCAGGGTCATTCACCTCGCCCCTGTCCAAAGGTTGTTTTGTGTGGTTGGCTCAGTATGTTGGGTCCAGTCTTCCTGAGAGTCACAGCCGCAAGTGTGCAGCCATAAATAAGTACTCGTCAAAATGGCTGAGAGAAGAAACATTGAAAAAATACCAGTACCGGACTTTGTGCAGTTTAACGATCTCGCTTCGGAAGCTGTTGGAGGAAAGATAATTTTTGCAACCGATGAGTGGTTTGCCCCAGCAGGCAATCTTCTTAAGAGAGACCCTCCTCAGTTCATTGCCTCTGCGTTTACTGATTTTGGGAAATGGATGGATGGATGGGAGACAAGACGCAAGAGAATTCCTGGGCATGATTGGTGCATTGTTCAGCTAGGGGTGCCTGGCATCATCTTTGGATTTGATGTTGATACCTCATTTTTCACAGGCAACTATACACCTCATGTTTCAATTCAGGTCTCATGTCTCGAAACGCCACCAGATTTTTCTCTTGTGGGTGATAGAACCGGAATGGAGGCTTCTGAAAGCGAGCGAGCCACTGTGGCAAAGCTCAATTCTGAGTCTTGGGACGAGCTGGTGCCAATTTCACCACTCCAACCTGGATACTCTGATACTTGCCATAACTACTTCAAAGTTCACAGTTCTAGAGTCACCCATCTCCGTGTTAATATGTTCCCAGATGGTGGAATTGCCCGTCTCAGGGTCTATGGGGTTGGAGAGAAAGACTGGTCGAGCGAATTAGCCCATCAAGAAGTAGACTTGGTGTCGTTGATCAATGGTGGTGTATGCCTTGGTTTCAGTGATGCCCACTTTGGACATCCACGCAATATGATTGGATTGGGTGTAGCGTCCAGCATGGCGGATGGTTGGGAAACTGCCCGCAGATTGGACCGGCCGCAAAAGCTCCAGCTTGATCCGAAGGGGGTATTGCAGGTTTCTGGGAGTGAGTGGGCGGTGTTTCGACTTGGACACAAAGGAGTGGTCAACCATATCGAGATTGACACTCGTCACTTCAAGGGTAACGCCCCAGATTCATGCATGGTGGAGGCGTGCATGCTGACCACAGAGGAAGAAGTTGAATGCGCTGCGAGCAAATGGAAGTTTGCTAAGTGGAGGTTGCTTCTCCCTACTAGAAGGCTCCGCCCCCACTACTGTCACATGTTCTATGAGGAGGACCTACGCTCTCATGATGCTGTGAGCCACATACGCTTCACGATAGCCCCAGATGGAGGAGTGAGTCGGCTGAGGGTGTGGGGACACGCTGCCTTGGTCGGTAACACCAAGGGAGATGCCAGATCTGCCAATCAAATGACAGGACAGTCTAAATTGTGAAGATATTTGATCAAATGCAAGCTGATTTACTGCTATCCTGTCTATTAGCCATATAGTTAAAGAAAAAGGAGACAAGATGCAAAAAATATGAAATATGAATAAAGGAACACATAATTTAAACTGTATGGACTGCTTCTGTTCACTAAAGCTGTATTTACATTTTTGAGTTCATTCAATTCAATTCAAATCAATTTATTCTTGTATAGCCTTAAATCACAGCAGTAGTTGTCCCAGAGGACTTCACAAAACCGTTTAGCTCGTCAAAACAGATCAGAGACATACGTAGGTATAGATCCATTGATCCATAGGGGGATGTTGGTCAATGATCATGAGTGTTGATAAATGTCCATAAATGTTGAGTGTCCTGGATTATCCACTGTCCTTTTTGTTAGACCCTCTAACAGACCCTCCTGCATGGGAAAGGAAAAACTCTCAAACCCACATTTAGATAGGGATCCGCTCCACACGGACGGACGGTCTATAGATCCAGGACTCCTGATCTCTCTTTGTATTTTATCATTGCTGCCATATATAGTGCTTATTTTTCATATTCTACTTTAACTGGACTCCCCGCGCCACAGTCCACATCTAAGATTTCCCCTTCCGCACTAACACTGCTGAATGACCATCTCACTAATGCATTGCTCAATTAGGTCTGAGCAAGGTTTCCACTAAAGGCTGGATAAATAGGTAATTACATGTTGTCGTCCCCCACCTTCTGCTAATGCACTCAGACTGCACTGTGCTGTCTACCTCTCCTTCCCCCTGTTCTCCATCATGTTCTTTCAATATCATGGATGAGTGCCAGAGACGGTCTAGTCGGGACGCAGCGTGGGTCTGTTAGTTGCAGCTGGCTTAACGCTTCAAGGAGGCAGAAACTGCAGCCTATAGTACACAGTCTACCTTTCTGTGTAAGAAAAGCATCTATGTAGCGTGGCGAGATTTACAATATACAACTGCGATTTTTGGTAGGTTAATGTCCGTAAGAAGAATTCAAATTTGGGTTAAACTGAACTCTGAATTAAATCACAAGCAAGTTCTCATTCATAATCCTACTGTGTTTAAAGATAAGTTGGATGAGACTGGACTTCAGATAGCAGATAGAATAAATGTATTCAGATTACAAGAAGTACTCCTTTATTGTGGCTCTTATTATTCTTTTTTTTATATTTGATGTGATTCTTGAATCTCTAAGCCTGTTGCAGAACTCTAAACACAGCAGTAGGCAGATTATTACACTATTCAACAAGATATTCTTTGCTGTCAGTATAAGATAATAAAAACTGAGTAGGATTAATCAACCTTTTTGAAAATCAAAAATGTGATAAATGTAAAAAAAATCTATTATGATTGTTTGCCGATAGAGAAAGACATTAACATATAGTTGACTGAACATTGTTTTTTCTTTGTCAGTGAGTACTGTCAAATTGGTAAAGAAAAGGGTTAAATGAATAGTGGCATGTGGAGAAAAGTGGGATTATTGTGCGTTTTGTGTAGCTGACAGTCTTCGAGAGTGAACACAAAACGAAGCTCACCAGCGGCTATTGATGTGATCAAATTGTCCGCCTGCAGCTACCAGTCCGCGGGCACAACTCCACGGAAGGTCTAGCATTATTCATAGCACTTGAGTCTGCTGTGGCCAAATAAAGAGAACACAACATCAGGTTTTGGAAAGACACGTACACATTGTCTTTATCTATTACAGAAGCTAGAATACAAATGAATAATTGTCATTTCACTCATGTGCTGACTGCTTTAGAAAAGACTTTGTGCAGTGAATTCTGTTTAAACTTGAATAAAGTGAACCTTGGCTCAAGCTGCAGTGCACAGTATCTGAAAGGATGTAAAATTAGGAGTTCTTTGACATTTCAGTAGCCTTGAAATAGGGAAAAAGTCTAGTTGAATAGGTTTGAGCAGAGGATTGCAGTAAATTAAATCGCTTGTGTGGGCCTTTGTAGATAGAAAAAGGCGGCGAAACATTGCGGGCAAACACCAACAGTCTTCATAAAGGGATTCTGCAATATCGGTCTGTTGTCTCTGATTGAACATTTTATTTCTCCTCATCCACATGAGGTTTATGAGCCGAATATGTCAATCTCTGGGGATGTTCTGCAGGCTGAAAGATAATTAAAACTAAATGAAGATGTGGGTTTTGGCGACATAAGACAAGCTGAGGAGAAGAGTGTTGTAAATAATGACACAGCGATTGCGGTGGATGAGGGAGGGCTGGAGTGTTTAGGGACAAGAGAAAGTGATAAGTCGGCTTGGACAAGACAGCCTAGTCTCAATCACTCACATTTGCTCTCCTCTCAGTTTGTCTTATTGATTTCGTGTTTTGTCTAGATGCCCTAAAACTGGCAAATAGAATCAAGAGGTGCTCAACAGGAATTACTGATGACAATAGGTTTTTGGATTTTTCTTGATTGGACTAATTGAACGAAAGTAACCATTATCCAATGATTAATAACTAAATTCTTGCATGTATTTGAATTATGTTTATGGGGTGGGAGCATGGATCTATAGTAGCATCTGGATAGGGTATTTCTAGCTTGTAGCTGTCCCACCCAGTACTGCAGACTAAATTCATGTGGGCTATCCAGAAAAATGTCCCATAGAACTCAATGTAAATTAAAACAGCTCGACCTCAGCTGTCAGAACCTACAGCTTTCATTAAGGTCAGATTTTGGTTAAATTCTTTGGTTTTCTATAAATCTGCAATTTGGTGCAACAAACTCTGCTGGTTTTCTTCCCGCTCTAACTCTTGCTTTAGCGACACTCACCAGCAGCTCTGATTGGTCAAAGCATCGCCGAACCTCTGTGCACGTGCATGAGAGCCACACATGCGTATTTGGCGCAGCACATCATGGGAGCTCGTCCACTGCGCTGAACCGGGAGGACCAGACGATGCCCAAACATCGGGGCAAGTTCCGCTAATCTTTCGGTCTCTATGATGTCCCATGCGCTACTGAGGACAAACCATTGAATTGAAAAGAGCGCCATCTTGGATCACCGGGGCTTGGGTGGGAGTCTACGGTTTTTACTTCTTTCTTTCTTTTCACTTCTTTCCCACTCCATTTTTTTAATTAAGATAAAATTTAAAACCAACAATATAGACTCATTACTTCCTCAACTCCATCTTCACCAGAGATTGACATTTCCCGATGTTTTAAATTCGGTGCCACCTAATGCACTCCAGCAATTAAATTGTGTGGCACAGCTGGAGGTTACCCATGGGTGTCCTGGTAGATGACAGACAGTGATTTGGACCTTTAAAACCCCCCTGCTCCTTTCAAACATGCTCAGGGGTGACTGCTGAAACCCCTTTGAATGCATTTGTGTGCAGCAACGGGAGATGACAGATCACTAGTAATCAGCTCCACACACATGCTCCGCTGTCAGACACATCAAACGCTCTTCCTCAAGACATTTCCACGGAGCGCTGTTTGTGGAGTTATAGGAAGGGGTGAAATATTTTTGTTTGGTGTTTTTTTAAGGTGGATTTCCTAGACTGAGGCTGTACTTGCACACACAGACAGTACATCAACAGGCTGATGTCTGCAGGTAAATTGGACTGGCACCTGGGCCTTCTTGATGAGTGACCTGAGAGCTGACTCCTGGTGCTGTGGATGGAGGTGACGGGGGTGGGACTATGTGTTTTTGAGTTGTTCCTTGCTGATGCAGAGAGGTCTAAGGACAGTGATGTTCCAAGACATTTATCAACATTTACGGACATTGGTCATCCCGCTATCCTATGGACAAATGTGTTTGCATTTCATGTGTTCGAATTGTTGGATTTTCTGATCTGTTGTTGGCAAATTGACACGACTGCTATTGTAAGTAAGTAAGAAAGTAAGGCAAGGCAAGGCAAGTTTATTTGTATAGCGCAATTCATACACAAGGCAACTCAAAGTGCTGAACAAAACAAAAAAGCATTAAAATCATAAATAATCACAGTACATTAAAAAGACAGATAAAAATATAAAATCCCTCAGCTGTATGCACAGCTGAACAGAACCGTTTTTAACCTGGTTTTAAACATTGTCAGAGAGGAGGCCTGTCTCACATCTTCAGGAAGATTGTTTCAGATTTTAGCAGCATTAATCTGAAAAGCAGCCTCCCCATGTTTAGTCCTGACTCTGGGCACTAACAGGAGTCCAGTCCCTGTGCTTCTCAGAGTCCGGGCCGGTTCGTATGGTAAGTAGAGCCGCAACTAACGGTTATTTTGTAATCGATTAATCTATCGATTATTTTTACGATTAATCGAGTAATCGCTTGGCTGTGAATTGTGTAGAAAAAAATATGTTTTCATCACAAAAAGCTAAAATGGCAACACTCGAGGACGTATTGATGGCGTAAACTTAAAGTAAATGTTTGTAACAGGCTCTTTGTGCTAATTCTGCTCTGATTGGATGAGACAGACAGATATTCATGAAATTATAAAAACATAGTCGGTTTTAATCAAAAATACATTTTCATGTCATTTTTGCTCTGTTTGAGTCCGTGTGAACCAGAAAACGATTAATCGATTACTAAAATAGTTGTCGACTATTTCAATAATCGATTAGTCGTTGATTAATCGATTAGTTGTTTCAGCCCTAATGGTAAGTAAATAAAGTTTATTTGTATAGCATCTTTCACAGACCAGGGTCACAAAGCGCAAATAAATAAGTTGAATTGAAATTAATTTAGGGTGCCATCACATTAGTCTGGTTCATTTCATAACTGGACAAAATACTTAATGTTATGAACAAATCATACCACAGTAGTCTGCAATCATGTCAATCGTAAAGCAGCAATCTTTTGCACACTTGTAAGAGAGTGACCCCTTTGAGTCACTATTTGATGCTTTGGGCTGAGAGTTGATTGGCTGAGTCTTATTTTCACTTTTTTGTCTGATAAAGCTGACCTGAAGATGCATAAGTGGCCAACAATGCATGCTTATGAAAACTAGTGATAGAATCAAACTGTTTTCTTTAAAAACCAAAAGTGTTTTCCAAAGT